AAATAATAATAACTTTAATCCTCTAAATATCAAATTGATACATAGGATACAAACATTAACGATATACCTAATAAAATGTAAATGAAAGAATTACAATTGATATAATATAATTATATATCAATTACATTCGTCATTGTATATACTTAAAATTTCAAAGCAATATTTGGAAAATAATGTTGTAGTAGATTCATCTTGCATTGACAAAAGATATTTAAAAAGATGAAAATCTTCAAATGCACTGAAGATTTCGTTTATCAAACCTAGATTTTRTAAAAATGTTTTCMTTAATAATTCAAATTTTTCATACTTACAAGACATWATGTAATGAAATTCATCTCCTACAGAGTTCGAGCCACATAAAGTACACTTCCGGTCATCATAAGCTATTTTCTGATAGCGACCAGATTCAACAGGTAACTTATGGGCTGAAACTCTTAATTTTGTCCCTGCAATGCGATGCCTAACATTACTAACATTATCAAGATAATTTTCAAACTTAAAATTCCTCTTTATTTTGCAATAGGTACGAAGTTTACCACCTCCAATACCGTTCTGTARCTGATTGTCAAAATACAGCTATGAAAACAGAGAATAATAAGTGTGTAATGTAGACAAAAACTAGACGCTCCTGGAGCGTGAAGTCGGACAAGCTATTTTTATAAATTGATTAAGACACGAGTTCACGAGTGATCGAAAGGTTTTAAGTTATATTCTGTCTAATCATAGATGATCATATTATGAATGTAAATGGCGTAGAATATATATATTTTAATTCTAATACATATTGAAAGTAAGAGTGCGTTACTTTCACTTTAATTAATGTACTGTTCAAAACCGTTTATTCACACGATACGATATTCTTTTTGACTGCTCTCTACAACGACTTCAAAACGATAGAAATCTAAATTTGACCTAATTAATACCCTGCGAACAACTTACAACTGAACTGATAAAATCAAACTTGGTAGACGAAATGTCGCTAAGTGATATCATATCTAATAGGTTTTAATTCAAATTGTTGACCTCTTAGGCMAAAACAAATTTAATTTAAAAAAATAAAAGATGCCTATAAAATAATCAAAGTCGCCTTTTTGTTATTGATAAACCAAGTTTCTCCTTGGTCTACTTTGAAATCTTTGCCCAAACAAGACTGTCTAACGCTAGAATTCAGTTTCGTAAGTATACTACTCGAAGCTGTATGCGATCCGCACATGCGCGTACGTCTGATGCCTAGACTGATGCATTCCGATGAGATCACAGATACCACATTTGTAAACAAATAGTTTTTTATCGTATAAAAGCGCAAGTAGCATTTAACATTTACTARCGATATTTGTATATCTACACGTTTGAGCTTCCAGTCATGTAACAACACAGCCAACCCATTGTTAATTATTAAATTCTTAACTTCCGGTGGTCCAAACGCGACATGACACATAGATAGATTGACTAAAAGGTAAATTTCAAGTCGTGCTAGCCTTCAGCTAGTCCGACTAATTACATCTAAAGGAACTTTTAAATCATTGAGAGAATTTAAATTACACATATAACGATACAAATAACTCCTTGTTGATTACTTTGCATACAATAATTAGCTGCTTTCTCAACAAGGGTAGATTCGAATAAAGGATTATTTACCCGCATAAAATACTTTRCCACTARAGTTGAAATCTGAAYAATTAAARGTGCTCTTCCAAGTTCTCCATAAATTGTAACRTTGGTCGATTTTTTGTGTACTCCTAGTACACGTTTTAAAAATCTTAGATGAAGACGCTCAATATCATTGATGACACTAAAAAACTTTTGATGGAAAATATCATAAGACGACGTTCTATAGAAGATAAACTGCCCATATTTCACAGCCATAAAGTAAAATAGGGACAACTAGAGATAAGAAAAGTTTTAGTTTTATGTTTTCTGCATGACAAAGCATCCTCCGTTCAAGCTGTTATACAACAAGCACTAGGCGATGACAGCAGTACTAACCAAGCACTAGGCGATGACAGCAGTACTAACAAGCACTAGGCGATGACAGCAGTACTAACCAAGCACAACTCCCAAACAGAAAAACAACCCCCCACGCAGCAAAGAGATTAATTCGTAATGTACTTGTACTAATAAATCTTACATTGTGTTGTTCATTAGCAGGTTGTGATGTACCAGCAACTTGCTGTGATGGTCCACCTTCAGTATCTCCAAGTCTATACCCTGCACCAGTAAATGTTGGAGCAGTCTGCCTCCTTGGTCCTGGTTCATCATTGTGCACTTCTTCAGCTCCATGTCTGAAATGTTTTGATACTATATCAATAATGGATAAAGAAGACATCCATTCACACAATATTAATTGAAAAATGTTTTTTTATGTCTCTACACTTTCAAGACAGCTGCATGGACAGAAACATTTCGTAGACTGTTTACTCCACAAAATGTACTATCTTTCATAAAATACTAA